TAAACTCCAACTCCATTTCCAATGCATGTCCATATTCCATAAGCCCTTCGAAAGCAATCTGATAGAAAATAAATGTTGGGTATAAAATTTACAGCAACATATACAATTATACACATGAAACATGCGACAACTTACTGTGAAGGAAATGAACTGAAAGCTGCTAGGCACTTTTGGTTTCCCAGCCACAAGTTAGATGTGAAGGCATGTAAGTGCAAACAAATGTGGCACACACCACACCACAATCACAGCATATATGGACCAAGAAGGAAATAAACAGAAGTAATAGTTGACAAAACGTACAAATGAATCATAATTACATTATATAAAAAAAGCCTACAACATAATAATATTTGCCTTAAAGATCATTATTCATTAATATCAGTACAAGTCCCCTTTATAATAAAAATTTGCCTCTACACTATAAGAAAAAATTGCATCTACAACAACATTATAAACTTACCAGACCCTTTTATTTTATACCTTTGTTGAAGATTCACTACAAGCAAACAAGTCAACAATCCAAATTTGTCCGTGGAAGTAAGCTCTCTTTAATGTCAGGATCATTAATTGCCTCTGTAGAAAAAGTCAATCTCATTATCACAAGAAAATAAGAAAAAAATGTATATTTAAATAAAACTATAAGAATCTGAAGCAAGTAGAATTACATACCCATCTCCAGGATTTCAAGATCTTCTATAATTTCTTCGACTCCGTTTGGTGTCTTGGCATTTCGTAACCAATCTTGGCAGCATATAAGCACCTCGGCTGTAGTAGGAGTTAAAGAACTCCTAAAACGATCCAAAGTTCTACCACCGGTGCTAAACGCAGATTCAGAAGCAACGGTCGACGATTGAATGGCCAAAACATCTCTAGCGACACAACTTAAGTTTGGATACCTCACTAAATTAACTTTCCACCATGCCAAAATGTCAAAATCAACCCGGTATTTTTCCGACAATTCTTCCAGGTACCTCTCCAGTTCATCTTTACTTGATGCCCTTTGTTGATTCTCTTATTCCAAAAAAAAAATCATCAACATCATCCATGTTAACATCTTCACCAACCTCTTTCTCAAACTCAATTGCTTTCTCTTTCCCTTCACCTCTTCCAGTTTCATTCAAGACCCTATAATCCTCAATCAAAATTCTCAAAGCTTTGATCACCTTATCCACCAATTCATCAGCTTCTTTTTCATTATAATGGATTGCATACTTGACCCTCAAATATTTAATTTTGTATCTAGGATTAAGTACCACGGCAATCAAAAGCATCAAGTTTATTTTGTTAATTGACCCCCAATATTTATCAAATTTATCCCTCATTTGTTTCCCCATTTCCTTCAAACATGTGTCATTACTCTTCTCAAAGTTTTCAATTTCCTTCAGAGTACGAACAATTTCAGGAAAATACATGTTCGATGTAGCATACAACGTTCCAGACAACCTACAAGTAACATCATAAAAGCGTTTCAAAAATTTAGTAAAATGGGCAACATAGTTCCAGTCATTCTCACAAGGCATTTGATCGCCGAACTCGTTAAAAAATTTCGTATCCAAATCTTCCAACTTATCAAATGCCTTTTGAAATACCAAAGCAGTTTCAAGCATCAAGTAAGTTGAATTCCACCTTGTAGCACAATCTAATATCAAAGAAGCCTTACTTTTTACTTTTGCAAGTTCACAACATTTTCTAAACAAATCTAATCTTTGTGGGCTGGCCCTAACATATCGAACAACATTTCGAATCTTTTTCACGGAATCACAAGCAATATTCAGGCCATCTCTCACTATCAATCGCAAAATGTGAGCAAAACACCTCATATGAAAGGCTTCTCCATCCAAAACAAAAGCTTTTTTTTTCAGCAATTTCTTTTTCAATTGTTGAATAGCTGTATCATTTGAAGATGCATTGTCCACCGTAATGCACATAACTTTACTTAAGCCCCATTCATCCATGCAAAAGTTAATTGCATTTCCAATATTTACCCCTTTATGACTTTTAACAACACAAAAATTTAAAATTCTTTTTTGCATTACCCAATCAGAATCAATGAAGTGGGCTGTCAAACACAAATAATTGACATTTTGGATACTCGTCCAAGTATCTGTTGTCAAGGACACCCTTTGACACTGAGGCTGGAGAACAAGTTTTAGTTTTTGCTTTTCCTTAACAAATAAAGAGAAGCAATCTCTAGCAATGGTAAACCTTGAAGGAATAACAAACCAAGGACAGGCAATCTCAACAAATTTCTTAAAACCTTCTCCCTCAACAAACCTAAAAGGTTGTTCATCACGTATTATCATCCTAACAAGAGACTCCCTCACAGCTTCTTGTTCAAATTTCCAACAAGACAGTTTACATTCTCATCCCCAGAGTTAGTCACACTTTGAAAATTCAGGACTTTTTGGCTTTTATCTTTACCCTTATGTGCTTCAACTAAATCCTTTTTAATTGGACATTGTCTACATGTTTCTCTTAAATGCTTCCACAACCCCAAAGTGCCAGCCTCACTCTTACAAATATAAGTCTTATCGCACCATCTACATTTAGCCCTCCCTGTCTCAATGCCATTAGCGTCTTTTAGTCGTTTAAAATGATGCCACACTTCAGACCTACCCTTTTTAGCATCAGGTGAGATAGAGGTACCTTCAGCCGGAACTTTATTCGAATCAACTGTTCGTGTGGGACTTTGAGCACTTGACGTTGGCGGCATATGATTATTGGTAGAACCAGTTGTACTTGCTTTTCTCTTACCCGAAACTACAAAATATTCAAGTAAATAATATTAAAACAAAAAAAAAATAGTAAATGAACCAACTAAAATGATCACAAAATTTTAATATTTACCACTTCTAGTTGAGGATGAATCAACCTCATTATGAATTTTAGGAGCCATTACATCAATCTGCAAACATATGAGAAAATAAATTAGAACTTG